CAAATTTCAGACAAGATTCTTTCCAGAAGACATTCATACATCAGCATGACGAATACCAGTATTCTCTCCTAAAATTATATAAATAAAGAGCGAGTTTGATTCTGATAGTATCTTCTGACTTCCAAAAACAAGATAAATTAACCAATGCAACCCATATTTGATTCCACTATTTTTTTCCACATAGCACTTTCAAAGCAAGTGGTACTTGTTAAAATGCATTCTCATAAAGGATCAAGGGCATTGTTAACCACCAAAAACATTCCATCAAGAGAGAAACACTTTACTTCCATCATCATATATATTCTTTTACATCTCCAAGTTGATATGAGTCGCTTAATCTAATTTCATACAAAAGGTCAAATTGATATTTAATTCAATCTCATCTTATCTTACTCTTTGCTGCTGCATTATATTTATAATGATCCACTAAAGAAAATATATATCTGCTTGACACTCCATTTGGATGAGCATAAAAAGGAAAGAAACGAAAAATCTAAATGTTAAATACTAAGAGCATCTCCAATCCTTCACCTTTTCTTTCATCAAATTTAAATTTGGTGAAAAAGTACTCAAAAACCATTTCCAATCCTTTCATCAAATCAAGGAAAAGTCATTTTTTCATAAAATTGAAAACTTATCAAATTTGAATTTGTTGAAAATTTAAAAAGATGAAGCATTAGAGATGATTTTTTTTCATCAAATTTGATGAAAAGACAAATTTGGGATAACAGGGGAATTTTTAAAAAATATGTTGATGAAAATTGGATAAAATGATTGGAGTAGTTCATATCAAATCAAGCTTTTACCCCGAAATTTGAATTCAAATTTGATGAAAAAATTGGTGATGCTCTAAGTAACTAATATAATTTATAACTAAGGCCTTCACTCAAAAGCTTTGGTATTCTAGTGTGAGCCCTAGCTGATGCTGCTGATATCTTCCTGCTCACAGAGACAGAGAGACCGACATAGACAGGGATCGACAGAGAGAGATCGGCAGAGAGAGAGAGAGAGAGACCGAGATCGATAGAAAGAGACAGAGATCGATAGATATCGACAGAGAGACACCGAGATCGACAGAGATCGACAGAGAAGAGATCGAGATCGACAAAGAGAGACCAAAATCGACAGAGAGAGAGAGAGAGAGAGAAAAAAAAAAAACCTTGTGATTTCGGCAGCGGCGGTGGTGATTTGCGGCATTGGTGGTGGCTGTAGCGATGTGCGATGGTGGCGAGCGACGGCGGTGAGCAACGGCCAGCAACGGTTGAGTGGTGAGCAGGGGTGAGGTTTGGTGGTGACTGTTTTCTCTGTGTGTGTGTATCTGTGAGAGAGAGAGAGAGAGAGAGAGAGAACAAAGAAAGTATTGGTGTAAAACAGAGATGAGAGGCGCCGGTGGTAATAACTTACACTATTTCTGGAAAGTTAAACCGCGACATAATTTTTTTCATAAAATTTACACATTTTTTTAAAATTTATACATTTTTGTTGAAATACTTACATATTTTCTGAAAAATTACTCATTTTGTGAAATATTTTTTTCATAAAATTTACATCTTTTATTGGAACTTACATCTTTTGTGAAAATGAAACTTACGCCTTTTGTGAAGTTACTTACATCTTTTGTGAAAAAACTTACATCATTTCTGAAAAGTTACACCTTTTGTGAAATAATTTTTTTCATAAAATTTACACATTTTTCTAAAACTTACACATTTTCTAAAAATTTACACCTTATTGTGGAAATACTTACACTTTTTTGAAAAATTACTCCTCTTTTGAAATAATTTTTGTCATAAAATTTACACTATTTATTGAAACTTACACCTTTTGTGAAATGAAAGTTACACCTTTTGTGAAAATGAAACTTACATCTTTTGTGAAAAAACTTATACCATTTTTGAAAAGTTACACCTTTTGTGAAATAATTTTTTTTTTTTTTTAAAATTTACACATTTTACTAAAATTTACACATTTTTGTGAAAATACTTACACCTTTTCTAAAAAGTTACTCCTTTTGTGAAATAATTTTTGTCATAAAATTTACACATTTTATTGAAACTTACACCCTTAGTGAAAACGAAACCTACACATTTTGTGAAGTTACTTACATTTTTTGTGAAAAAACTTACACCATTTTGGAAAAGTTACACCTTTTGTGAAATAATTTTTTTATAAAATTTACACATTTTGCTAAAACTTACACATTTTCTGAAAATTTACACATTTTTATGGAAATACTTACACCTTTTCTAAAAAGTTACTCATTTTGTGAAATAATTTTTGTCATAAAATTTACACATTTTATTGAAACTTACACCCTTAGTGAAAACGAAACCTACACATTTTGTGAAGTTACTTACATTTTTTGTGAAAAAACTTACACCATTTTGGAAAAGTTACACCTTTTGTGAAATAATTTTTTTATAAAATTTACACATTTTGCTAAAACTTACACATTTTCTGAAAATTTACACATTTTTATGAAAATACTTACACATTTTCTAAAAAGTTACTCATTTTGTGAAATATTTTTTTCATAAAATTTACATCTTTTATTGGAACTTACATCTTTTGTGAAAATGAAACTTACGCCTTTTGTGAAGTTACTTACATCTTTTGTGAAAAAACTTACATCATTTCTGAAAAGTTACACCTTTTGTGAAATAATTTTTTTATAAAATTTATTGTTTTTCAAAGTTAGGCACGTCACCAACTGGAAGGGGTTACATTCCCGTGGAAACTCATACATATTGTACATGATAATATATTTGAATACAGTCTGTTCCACGTGTGTCATTATGTTACAACCATACGAAAATTATTTCGACTATTATATATTTCTTAACATTCTGTTATTACGCATGTAACATAATTTGTCGCGTATGTGAAGGCGCACCAATGCCATATGGGGGTCCTCATCCCCAACCATTAAACCATCCTCGTCATGTTCAACTTCTGGTATGGCATTTACTATTGTCATAGCCTCTTCCTCGTCACAGATTGGCTGAACAGTTGTTGGGTTACCTGTGTTTCGCCGTATATAATTATGTAATGCCATTGACGCACCTACTAACTGAACTTGCACATTTGCAAAGTCATACCGAGGCATGTCTCGAATAAACCCCCATCGATTTTTTCAGGCATCGAAAGTGCGTTCCACCACATTGCGTAAGAACGAGTGCACTTTGTTAAATAATTCCCTTGGCGTGTTTGTCGTCCTGTTCCGTGCAATACATCGGAATTCTTGTTGGTGGTAACGGTGGCCTTTGAATGGTGCTAAGTAACATATCCGGTTTGGATAGCCAGAATCGACAAGATAATATTTTCCTGTAGACATGACAACAATGTATGACACGAAAACCAAACATTGTGTTTCATTTTCAAGTAACGCTATTTCTGGAAAAAAAATGTATAGCCCCATAAATCTAATTCATGGCCATGTGTTACCTTCGTCAGGATGTGGGAATGGCACATTGTCATTCATTAGTATCTCGTTAAATATGCGACTATCATGCATACTTCCTTCCCATCCGCATGAAATGAATATGAAATACATGTCAAAATCCACTGCGGCCATGATATTTTGCGTGTGACAGTATTTCCTACCAAAATATGTTGTCGCATCTGGCCCCGTAACCCATGCACTTACATGTGTTTCGTCTATTGCGCCAATGTAGTCCTGCAAACAACCCACTTCTTTTGTTGCTTAAACAGGTAACAAGTGTTTGGTTTTTCCCATACGTCACCTCTAGTTAATAATAAAAACAAAATAACTGATACTCTTTATTTATATGTCAATAATGGTTTTCAGTAGTACCTTGAACGGTAGGTATTTTCGTCTAGACCGCACGTATGGATGCATACGATGCTGACTGTATGTGGGGCAGCAATGAACTACAGTGAACGCTTTCATGGAAATTAATACGTTATGCACGTGCCGAGACACAGTCTCCCCCGAATGTTGGAACCGTTCTTGAATTTCCCGATTTTGCTTCCCTTCCAACACATGGATAAACATTGCAACGCTTTCTTCAACAGCTAAGCCATGTGGACATTGCGGGACTTGTAACCCAAAATCATTTATTAATGTCTCACACAAGGCGACAAAAACTTCCTTCGGCATGCAAACATTTTCCTCAAATCGCCCCATATGGCCCGCATATATTTTGGATATCCATGCATTCCCTGTCAGTAAAGAATTGTGACATGGCGTTTTGGCCATGTGTTTTGCGTACCATTCTGTCGCATACTGGCATGCTTGTAGAAATGTGCAACTGTGTTCTTGTTGCACCTGGACCGCCATTTGATTAAGCATTTCCCTTATTCCGTCATTGTTGCTTCCATCCCACGGATTCATTACGTCTTCGTTGATGCGAAACCTACAAGAGTGGCACTCTGTCAATTAGTTTGCTTCCCTTTCATTGACTCAAATTATTTGGAAAATTGCAATAAACAAATATATTAAAATTGGTTTTCATGTAAGCAATGCTGTCACCACTGTCAGTAGTAACGCGTAATGATATGAGTTTCACAAATTGGTAACCTGTTCAACTTGAATTTACCGGGGGCTGATAGTGGTAACAACCACAAAAGTAGACGTCACAGTAAACTACCAATTAGATTTGCATAATATAGACATACAAAAGCATCCCATTCATTTCTCTAAAAACATGCACAACCATGCTTCCACGAACGACAACCCATGCACTGACTAAAAGTTTTGTGCACCGTAGGTAGCAATAAAAACCACAAAAAAAAAAGGAATAAAAACGTGTACACACAAACATCCTGTTTTAATACAATGCCAACATTAAGATAAGTAAAAGTTTTCATAATGCAACAGAAGGACATGCATCTTCAACACTCTCAACATCGCTACATCACATCCGACGAGCCCCAAACAGGTTGGCGCCGAGGCAGTACACTGGAGTTGCTTGGCTGTAAGCCACCCTACGATAAAGTCGTCATCAGGCTGGCACATCATCACCTCCCGCAAATCGGCGTTATCCATAAGTGTCAAGGCGAAATGGAATAACGACGTACCAAAGCAAGGATGGAATACTCGTTAGGCGATGCATGTACTCCGAAATAGTATACATCGATTCGTTGCCAGTGAGGTGCCTCACCGTGACCTGCTGATTCTTCGTACGCACCACATCTGCCAGATTGTTCATGTTTTCCGCAATAACTGATGCTCCACTTGTTGCCTTCTTGGACTTTGAAACACTGCTTGATGGCATCTTTCTCCTTTTCCCCTTTTCAATCGGAACATGCTCCAGTGAAGAATCTAAATCCACATCCTGCACTGTTGCGGGTATCAGATCAGCAAATGGCTGGGCTCCCAAACTGTGCGCTGAATCAGATGAGTCGTCAGCAGCTTCAGCAAGTATCTCTCCCAGGTTCCAGTGTTGCTTACTAGTAGCTGATGCCCCCATGAAGACCGTCTCTATCAACTCACAATGTTTCAAGGATTTTTTCCTGAACTTGGAACGCATCTTGTTTACCTGCAGAAATACAGATATATGAAAGAGAATTACATTATATTTCATATAAATAATTAAAATTGAACTACAAACTACCAAACATGTACTGGTAAATGACAAATATGAAACTTGTTTGTACATGTACTTACCGATTCCATCTTGTCCCACCACTCCTCAGGTGCCTGAAACATACCGGTGTCACTGTCAAAGCCTATCCCTGACACTCCTTTGCTTGAATCCATCAACTTTGTCCACGCTTGCCACTCTTTTTTCAAGCTCATGTACTTATTCTTCAACTATTCCTGTCCATGTTTTCTTCCTGTTTTTTCTCAAATTTCCTTGCCAAGGACTTGTACCCTACTTGGTTGAGGACTAGGAAAGGGCGATTTCCTTTAGTAATCTCATTTGCAATCAACTGTAGGAAAACTCGAATTGAGTCACTGTCCCATGAGGCCTTGTGGCTGAACTGATTATGTGTCTCTTCAAGACTGCTTGACTTGTCAGTGACAATGCCTTTGCTTCTCGATTGGGTACGCGGAGAAGTACGCGTCGAAGCCATTACTAATTTACAGTTACAAAAGATTACCATCACAAATTCGGTTGTTATATACACACGCATACGCCATGACACATTAATAACAACAAACAGAGATATAGGATGCTAAAGTGAAATTTGCATATAACCATTGCACATTAATAACGTACGTACACAGGTTCCATGGAAGTTAGTAGTGGACAAAAATATGATAGTTAGTAATACGGCTCCCATATGCGACAACATACTACCAACATACTACGAACATACTAACTACATCCTATCAACATACTGACAACATACTAACGTGTTTCTACATACTGACAACATGGTAGCGGTGCTTACATACGACACAACAAAATGACAACAACAATGCAGAGCACATACACAATGGTCTTAAGGACACGCAAGGATTATTGAATGTCTATGACATCAGCCCGCAATTGCATGGCAATTTCATCTTCGGGTGACGCATAGTCTTGGTTCTCTCGTTCTTCGCACCAACCAATCCAACTGACACGGGGCTGATGAGTGCAAATTATGGAACTATTAGTTTCATGGGTTGTTAATGTTCATACAGTTATGACCGGTATGGGTCACTCACCACAAGGCGGGGACAGACAAAGTAAGGATGCCTTGGATCTTTGGTGGACCTGGAAATCTTAACAATACAGGGGCCATGTCCACAGGCACACATTCGTCGTGGCCATGTACTGGAAGTTGCAGTAGAGGTGAACGACGCCATGCTACGCTTTAAATTTCAATTAAATTTACATGAATCAACATGAACACATACAAAGACTAACGCAATTTTATATTTGATTCCATGAACGAACTAGATTGTTTGTAAAAGTATTGTGCATCTTGAATTTAGGTATATTGGTAATATATTTTCGAATATATTTTTTAATATATTTGTGAATATATTGTTAATATATTTTGTAAAAATTTATTTTTTTAATATATGTTTAATAAAAATTTTACTGACATATAATTTGTTAAATCTAAATTCTTAATATACATTTTAATATATTTTTAACATCTTTTTAATATATTTTTAATATATTTTTTAATAAACCCAATTTTTTAATATAGTTGTAATCGAATACATTTAATATATTTTTAATAACTTTTTAATATATTTACCTTCCTTCCCAAATTTAGTTTGTAATATATTTTTTAGTGAAATATGTTATTCACAAATGAGAATTGAGCATTGAGTATTGAGTACAAAATATATTAAAATTAATAAATCTATTTTGTAATATATTTTGAATATATTTTTTACTCAAATAAGTGTTTGAAAACTAAATTTTTGTTATATTGTTGAAAATATTTGTGAGGAAATTTTCTTTAAGATAATTTTAAAATATTTTTGAATATATTTTGAATATATTTTTTAATAATTAAATTTTGTCATATATGTTTAATAAAATTTTTACACTCTTTACTTTTTAAATCAAAATTTTGTAATATATTTTTAATATATTTGTTAATAAACCCAATTTTCTAATATATTTGTAATATAATTTTTGTATATTTTGTAATTTGTTGTTAATATATGTAGATAATATATCTACCTTCCTTCCCAAACTTAGTTCAAAATATATTTTTTATCTAATGAATAAATTTTTTACAAATGAGAATTGAGCATTTCGTATTGAGTAAAAAATATATTCAAATTAATAAATCTATTTTGTAATATATTTTGAATATATTTTTTATGATATTTTGAAAAAAAAAATTGATTATATTTTGACATAATTAAATTTTTTTCATGTATGTTTAATAAAATTTTTACACTCTTTACTTTTTAAATCTAAATTTGTAATATATATTTTAAAATATTTTTAATATCTTGCTAATATATTTTTAATATATTTGTTAATAAACCCAATTTTCTAATATATTTGTAATATAATTTCAATATATTTTGTAATTTGTTGTTAATATATGTAGATAATATATCTACCTTCCTTCTCAAATTTAGTTCGAAATATATTTTTTATCTAATTAATATATTTTTTACAAATGAGAATTGAGCATTTCGTATTGAGTAAAAAATATATTCAAATTAATAAATCTATTTTGTAATATATTTTGAATATTTTTTTTTATGATATTTTGAAAATATTTTTGAAAATATTTTGAATATATTTTTTCATAATTAAATTTTGTCATATATGTTTAATAAAATTTTTACACTCTTTACTTTTTAAATCTAAATTTGTAATATATATTTTAAAATATTTTTAATAACTTGCTAATATATTTTTAACATATTTCTTAATAAACCCAATTTTGTAATATATTTGTACTATAAGTTTTATATATTTTGTAATTTGTTGTTAATATATATAGATAATATATCTACCTTCCTTCCCAAATTTAGTTTGAAATATATTTTTTATGTAGTTAATATATTTTTGACAAATGGGAATTGAGCATTTCTAAATTAGCAAAAATTCAGGCTTCAGCATTGACTATAAAAAAAAAAAATAACAAAAATGTTCATGTTTTCCTTCATTTTGTAAATAAGAACAGATATATAAGATCTGATAATTGAGCATTTTGTAAATAAGAACAGATATGTAAGATCTGATTTTCCTTCAGTTTGAACATGTTTTCCTTCAGTTTGTGATCAACAGATCTGATTTTCATAAATAAGAACAGATTTTTTAATAAGAACAGATATTATATATATATATATATATGTATATATACATATCTGCCCCAAATGTGTGAGCTGTAACCCTAACATTCCGTGATAATCGAACAAATTTTTAACATAAGAACAGATCCAAAACCCAGATTTTTCACAGAGACAGATCGGTGCCCCAAATATGTGTAATGTAAGCGTAATCAACCCAATCACGACCGTAAAGAAACAGATCGGTCATGAACCGATGCCGTTATGAACCCATACTATGTAGATCGGAAACAAGGAAACGAAATCAGATAGGCCATAAAGCATTATCTGCTGATCGGTTTGTGTTTGAGAGGGTTGGTTCTTGTTCGCTGCCGCGGATGCGTACTCCGGTGCCGATCACCTCTGCGAAGGTCGTTCAGATGTCCTCGTCGCCGCTGGTCTTTCCAAATGGGATAACTCGTTTGTTCTTCTCTTCAGCTTTCGAAAGGGTGTGTGTGTTTTGGATGAGGCGTTGTCCCTCAGATTGAGAGGGTTCTCTTCGGGCCATTTTGGTAAATTTACACCAATAAGGGTTTCAAAATACCCGTGAATTCCATTTTGTCTAGATGTGGTTGAAACAGCCTAATATGTCGAGACGTAGCTAAATTAGCCCAAGTTTTCCTTCCTAAACGGTGCCTTAAGTGCTATGCTAGATGAGTGTATACAGCGGTTGTGAGATTTGAGTGTGACGTCAATGGAAAAATTGTAGATAGTGGTCTTGGATCGGGAAAGACAAAAAAGAGGTTAAAAATATCTATAAAAAAATTATGTTATCTATAACATGTCTTTCACAACTCAATAAAAATAAAATGAGGGACTTTATATATTATAAGAATTTTTTGGACTTTATGCAGAAAGTGTTTTAAATGATCCATTTTTCATTAAATTTTCCTGTAAGAAACTATCAGTGTGTTTGGTTTTAGTTTTCTGAATTCAATCTTTTGAAAACTAAGGCTGTGTTTGGTTGTGCTTTTGAAACGTGATTCTACACCTGTGTTTCAGTATGATGTTTGTTTAGGATTTTGTAATCACGTTTCAAAAGCTCTGCTGAGAGCTCTGTACCAAATCTGTCTCAGCCGCTCTTTTGCTCTGTTTTTTTTTTCAAAATTTTTGCTAAGGGGACGTCCGGCCGGTCGTCCGGCCGGTTGACCGGCCGGCTGTCCGGAACAGTAATTTTTTTTTTTTTTTTTTTTTGCAATTGATTTATATAATCGGAAAAAATATTTTCTGAAATTTTTTTAATTTTTTATGTGCTTTAAAATAATTTTGAATTGTATGTTTAGTTATGAGTTGTAAATTTTTGTATCACATATCAAATGTCACATCAATAATTCCCCACTCAAATCAAACCTCTTTTCCAAAACTATTTTCAAAACTCTTTACCAAACAAATTTTCTACACTCAAATCATAACTCCACAACACACAAACTCAAAATACAACTCATACTCTCAAATCACATTTACAAAACTCTACCAAACGCTACCTAAGTTTTTTTTTCGTATTTTTTAGTTTTTAGTTAATATTTTTTAAATTTTAAGTAATTTTTTTACTTTTTTAGATGCACCTTACTTAGATGTATCTAAATAGTAAAATATTTGTGAAAAATATATTTTAGAAAATTAATAAATACACAAAAATACGAAAAATGTACTGAATTTTAGTTTTTTTTTTTTGTATTTAGTGTATTTTTTAAATATTTTTTTCACAAATATTATACTTTTTAAGTGTATTTATGTTAGGTGTGTCTAAAAATTAAAAAAAAAAAACTTAAAATATTAAAAAAATTCATTGAAAATATTAAAATACAAAAAAAAAAAAATTAAGAAATAGAATTTTCTTATAGTATTATTAAAATTCCATCTGCAGTATCAAGTCCATAATGGATTTGGGCTTTCTGTTGGTGGCCAAGCATGGGCTTGCTATTCATGGCCAAACCTAGCGTAGAACTTGGGTTTTGAATTCTTTTTAATTTTTTTCACTAAAAGACAAACTTTTTACAAAATCACAAAAAAACACATCTAAACAAAATATCACATTCAACCCATAATCATTTCAT